CTCGCTGTTCATTTTTTGATCAGAAGTTTTCCAAAAACTAATGAGTTCTACTTTAGAAAATCCATAGCAAGAACATTTCTCCGTTGGTCTACGCAATGTCGCTCCTTCTAGCTTATTCCATAGAGCAGTAAATAGCTTTTTATTAAAAATCTGAATATCAGTTTAGTGACTCTAAACTGTATTGAGTTCAGTTTATTTGTCTTTAGTTTCAATTTCGGCAAATTTTTGAATTTCGAATATTAAAGTCTTCAAATGTTTCTAAATTTTGTTTTAATTATTCAATATTTATTACCATATCTCGGAATGCATTTCGACGAAAAAATGCTTTGCATGATTCACAAGTGATTTGATCAAAATTATAACCTTGAGCTGGAGCACCACAAACACGACATTCTAGATTTGATCGTTGAGATTTTTTTGTTGAATTATTGTCTGATAATGTTTGTTGTTGATCTTGATCAATCTAATAAAAAAAATAATAATAATAGCTAATTTTATATAAAAATACTTAATATAAATTAAAATCATTTACTTCAGATGATGAAGATGTTATTTCTTTGATTAGATTATTATGTAACATAGAAAATTGATTATATTCATTTTTAAGATTAAAATCATCGGATAACAAAAATAAATCATCAAAATCAAATGACGACATATTATTCCAATATTGATTATTCGATATCATCAACTATTATTTTCAATATCTATAATATTTATATAATTCTTAAGAAAATTTATTATACTATATCATTGTATATTTTTAAATCTTTCTATATTGTTGCATTTCTTATGTAAACATAACTTTTTTTTTTCACATCGTACAATTTTATTCAAAGAACGAAAAAAAAATAGATGTCTTTTTATGTTATTTAATTTCATTCGGAACTGTTTGTTTTTTTTTTGAAATAAAAAAAAAAAACACATTTGATACAATTCTATTTCCAAAAAACAAAAAATACAAATTGAAATGTTCGAACTTACAAATAAATCAACATAGACTTTATTTTACTTGTTTATATCGTCATATGACTATTACACAGAAAACGACATTAGCCGTATTCTTTTTTTTTTTTCTTAGCTTTGATCAATTAAAGGATTTTAATAGAATTATATACCAAAAAAAAACAAGATATGCACTTTTTTTTTCTCTTGTGTTCTGCAATTCGCATGAGTTATTTTTACTCGAGAAAAAAAAATATAAATGTGTTTTGTTCTTTTATGATATAAACGTAAATCGATGAATCATCCAAGAAGAAAAAAAAAAAAAATCAAAAAACAAAACAAGGCATAAAAAGTATGAGAACATGATTACAAACATCATCATCATAGAAAAATGTAATATACAATAAATTAGAAGGATTGGATATTTTGATTGGTATTCAATCTGGCGTAAGGATATGATTAGTCATCGAAACGTAAAACGACGGCTTATGTTAATAGTACATAAAGAGGCAAAAAAACTATGATAGAATTCGGTCAAATTTAGTATCGTATGACACATTGTGTAAAGTATTAGATACAATTCACAATAGCTGACTCATGATGATTACGCGCAAAAAAAAAACATTGATACAGACAGAAAATAAATTAGCAATTAACTTTATAATTTCTAGCTAATGATAAAGCCTTCTGACATGTTAGGAACTTATTAGTGAATTTCTCTTGTGAAATTGTAATTATCAAAGTAAAATCATATTTTTGAGTTTTAATCAAACAAAAATATTTACTCAGTGCATAAACGTTACTTAAACTTCTTCGTATGAAGATTTTTTGCAATACAGGTATTACATTTCTCAGATAATAAGAACTAATAATATAGAGACTTTGGCATAAAATATTGATTTTCGAAAAGTAAAAATGTTGAAGATTTAATTCATTCAAATTACAGAAACTTTTCATCTTAATTAGTCTTACTAACATCTATGCGTATAGAAAAAAGTTTGCTCATGATATTTGATATATTCATTAAATAACAACTTGTATCCATATCCTCTTAGCGCATTCTTATTATAATAGTTCTCTAAGTAATACACAAAAAGTACGGTCAAAAGTTCTTCAGTACTTGAAAAGAATTTCTTGTGAGTTTCATTTCTATAAACAATGAAATATATTTTATAGTATACTATATGATTATATCATAGAAATATGACTACTTGAATTTATCACTCATGTATCATGTCTTGAATGAGTGCGGGTATTTCGTGAGACAAAAAAAAATTCGTAAACGAAATTGAAGGTTGTCAAAAATAGTTTCAAAGGTTTTCTATACTATCATCGTTTTAAAAAAATGGTTAAGTCTGCAAAGCGTTTATTTTTGGGATAATTTTCTATAGGAAAATGGAACGTCCCATTGAAGCTTGGTAAAAAAAAATGGTATGAATTCGATCATGAAATTTCATCTATACATTTCGGTTAGTATTTTCTGACATTTCATTTTCTGGATTACTGAGATCGAAAATTATTGGTTTGGATGTATACATCTAAAAATCAGAAGAAAAATGAAAACTCGAAGTTACACAAAAAATGATAAACGAGGTCTTCTAGAATCGATTTTGTCTTATCAAAGACTTTCATTATTACAAATGCTCATAACAGCTAATGGCCTAGCTTACTATTTTTAATTATTACGGATATAAGATGAAGGTTAAAATCATTGTATTGTTGAACTTACTGAAGATGAACGAAAACTCATATTGAAGATTCAAGATGTTTGTATTATATGAAGACATTAATCTCTTTCATAAAGTCTGAACAGCGACTTCTCGTTCTCTACACCATCGCGATACAAGTTACAGGTTTTGTTAAAATTCAAACATTCTCGCATTCAAAATTGACGAAGAATAATGTGCACTAGCATCAGTGTTTATCGAAGCATTGGAACGCGACACTGTGAAAAGAACATACTTTGATAGAGTTGCTATCTCAATGTTCTAATAAGCACCACAGTCAGTATTCCAGTGGATCATATTTCGGTGTCTCACTTTTCAGTGTCTAAACACAAACACCGTATACTCATAGATAATATCGAGCTTGTAGTAAATTAATATTATAAGGCGAGAAGGCTATCTAATATCAAGAGAGAGAGTTCTGATCATATCTGTTTCAATCCCACAGAGGAAGATAAAGATCTAAAAGTAGCTACAAAACGAAATAAGTTTTTTTCCGAACATCCTCATATGCTTTTATTCATGTTTTTTATTAAAATTTTTCAATTATTATTTAAAAAAAAAATTAACAAACAGCAAACTTTTAAAATTCATTTACAATATTTATATAATGAAAAAAAAAACAATAACAACAAAATCTATCACTATATCATTATACAACTGATTATCAAGATATATATCTGTGTGTTTTTGTTTAATTTCGAGATAATTATATTCTTCAATAAGTGAAATTTCATCTTAATAAAACAACATTCATATAACGAAGAAATATTGATATCGATGTATCTCTAAAGTCCAAGTACAGACTGCATTAATGGATGATATTGAGAACAATATGGACTTTGACATACAGAATTTCTCATTGTTACCATTAATAATTGAAATCGTAGAATTTGCATAACTATTATTTCCATCACTTTTATTGCTTCTTTTTCATCGAATAAATAATTTAAATAACGCCACAAAATATTCGTATAATAATTTTGATATTCAAATAATATTTTCGTATTTTTATATTCATAGAATTGTGTAATATCAAACCATGAAGATAAATTAACACTAAAAATAAGTACAACTAGTGCAAGTTTTAATACTAATGGATAATTTATAAAACGATAGAAATATTGACGTGTTCGTACTATTTGATAATCAAAATCTTTATTGATCCATTTAGATAGACATTTATCAAGATTTGGACAATCTTGAAAGTTATATATTATTATATGATGTAAATGTATGATTGTAAGTAAATTAGATTTTATTAACAGAACTTGATCATTTTTGTCTAATTGTTTAAATTCAGGTATACATTTAAAAAAATTGATTAATGATTCGTACATCATAGTTTCATCGTTAATAAACTGTGAAAAAGGTGTTGATGATGTATATTTATCAATATAAGAATAATCATTTTTATCTACTACTAATTGATAAGCATTATTTATATTATTCAATAATATTTGATCCTCATCATTTAGAATATCATTCGAACTACAACAATGCATTTTGGTCACCTAGAAAGGAAGAATAAAGACTATTATTATTATTATTCAATTATTTTTATTTACTGAATTAACAACAGTTTGTTCATTTCTTGATGATATCAATGAACGTTTTCTCTTTCTCAAAGCTGTTGAAAGAGTACGAAGTGGTTGTTTATTTGATAGAATTTGTTTCAATTGTCTATTTGCTAATATTAGTAAATGTCTTGATTTTTTTTCTTCATCACTAAGAATCAATTCTTTACGCATTTCAACGTCAAAACACTTTTGTAATCGACAATATGCACAATGACGACGTGTATGAATATTAATAACACAAGAACCCGAAGATTGACATCGTAGTTCAGACTAAAAAGAAAAATTATCGTTGAGTTGATATTTGCTTGTAATTCAAAAATTTTCGAATTAATATCCTCTATAAAATTTGCACGAAAATGACTTTTGTTAACTATATAGTGAATTATGTATAAATTAATAACTCTACAATCGACTACATTGATATGTGGGAATTACTATATATATATGTCCGAGGTAAAATTGATATTATATTAGGCGCATAATTTTAGCTGTATTTTTTTTTTGTAATTTAGAAATGATTTTCTAATTATCATTTGCATTCAGAAATTTCGGCAGATTACTTGATTATTTCATTAATGAACATATCAATAATCTTTGTGCAGATATAACAGATACAATACATGTTGAAGGTTAAACTAACAGACAACAAAATTTTATGCATAAAAGAAATTATTTGACAAACTATAAATTATTTATTTAAAAGTTCATTAAAACTGTCAGAATTCCAAAAAGATAAGTCTTACATAGCTTCAAAATATATAATAATTTTCAATACAGCTATGTCAATAAATAGGATAATTCAATATTCGAAGAATTTAATACTTCTATAATTCAAGCATTAGAAATCGAGTATTCAAAACTTGGTGAACTTTTTTTTTTTAGTCATTGAATTCCTATTACCTTATTTCGGAATGCATTTCGACGAAAAAATGCTTTACATGGTCCACAAGTGATTTGACCAAAATTAAAACCATGAGCAGGAGCACCACAAACACGACATTCGAGATTCGACAATTGAGATTCTTCTGTTGAACTATCGTCTGATAACGTTGGTAATTGATTTTGATCAATCTAACAGAAAAAAAAAACATAAATAAATAATTTATATAAAATAAATTTAAATCACTTACTTCAGATAATGAAGACGTTATTTCTTCAATTAAATCATCATCATCTAACACAGAATATTGATCATATTTATTATAAGAATTAAAATTATCAAGTAATGAAAATAAATTATCAAAAGTAAGCGGTGTCGTATCATTTTCATATCGATTATCCGACATCATAGACTGTTATTGTTAATATCTATAATATTCAAAAAAAAATATTTTTTTTCATATAAATATAACTCTTGAGAATAATGATTGTGCTATTTCGTTCTGTATTTACATTCTCCAAATCGATTTTGATATTGTTACATTTCTTATGTAAACATATTTTTTTTTCCGTGATGTAATCTTATTCAAACAACGAAAAAAAATTGATGTCTTTGGAATTTTGTTTTCTTTTTTTTCGAAACATATAACAAGTTGAAGAAATCCTATTTCAAAAATAAAATAAGCAAAAAAAAAGACAAACTAAAGTGTTCGAACTTACGAATTAATCTCAACGTTCGGTTTATTTCATTGAGTTATATTGTTAATGTACCTATTAGAGAAGAAACAACATTCATCATGCTTTTTATATTAGACTCTGTCTATGAACATCGTTTTACTAGAATCTTTTGTGGAGACAAATGCATATTTTTTTTTGTCTTTATATATTCTGAAATGCATGTTTTTATCTTTATATATTCTGTGCTCTACATAAAACCCTTGTCCTTGAAAAAATAAGTACAAATTTGTTTATTGTTTTGATATAAATATGAATAAATAAATCATTAAAGCAGAAGAAAAACAAGAAAGAAAGCAAACAATGATAAGCACGACAAAACGATTATGAGTATCCTAATAGAAACATGTGATCCATAGTAAATTACGACGTTTTATATCTTCAAATCGATTTTCAATATTCGCATAATGATATGAGAAATCATCAATAAAGTACGAGATAATAATATAATTTTTGTGCACTAAACGGACACGAAAATGATGGTTGAAATCGATTAAAAATAATATCACATGATATTATGTAAAGCGCTATACACGATCGATATTTCATTATTCATGCTTAATATACGTATAATAGCCTACATTGAAACTGAAAAACAATAAGCTATCAACCTTTTGACTTCTATTTGGTAAAGAAACCTTTTGAGGTATGAAGAACTTATTAATAGATTTTTCTTATGGGATTGGGAAAGATCTTTGTCGACATTCATTTTGAGAGTATGACAGGAAATATTTTTTTTATAGTTTACTGTACGATTATATCATAGAAATATGAAAATTTGACTTTATCATTCATGTATCATCGCTTGAATGAATATGGATATTTTATTAGCCAAAAAAAAATTAATAAACAAAATCAATTGTTGTGAAATGAAATTTTAAAGATTTTCTATGCTATCACCGTTTTAATTATTTTGAAGTTTGAAAAAAAAAAATGCTAAATCTGCAAAGAGTTTCTTTTTCGTAGAAAAATGAAACATCGTATTGAAACTTGTTCAATAAATAGTATAAATTCGATCATGAAATTTCATCCTCATGTTTACATTAGTATTTTCTGACATATCATTTTCTAAATCCTTGAGATTGAAAATTATAGCATTGAATGTATACATCTTGAAAGAACAAGAAAAAAAAGGAAAACTCGAAGTTACACAAAAATGATAAGCGAGATCTTCTAGAATCGATTATTATTACTAATGCCAATAAAAACTAGTGGCCTAGCTGGTTGGAAACTAGCTCACTGTTTTTAGTTAACACGGGTAAAAGATGAAAGGTCGAAATTACTATATTGTTGAACTTACTGAAGATGAACGAAAACTCATATTGAAGATTCAAGATGTTTATATCATATGAAGACATCGATCAAGTCTGAACGTGTTTCTAGCGACTTCGCATTCTCTACACCATCGCGATACAAAGTACAGGTTTCGTTACAGTGCAAACATTTTCGCATTAAAAACTGACGAAGAATAGTATGCACTACCATCAGTATTCATCGAAGCATGAGAACACGACACTCTAAAAAGAACATATTTTGATAGAGTTGGTATCTCAATGTTCTAATGAACACCACTGCCAGTGTTCCTGTGGGTTGTATTTCGGTGTCTCATTTCTAAGTATCTAGACTAATATCGTACACCCTTAAGTAATGTCGACTTTTTATTTGTAGTAAATTAATATTGTGAGCTGCGAAGAGTATCTCATATCAACGGAGTTAGTCGTGATAATAGTCCTTTCAATGCTAAAGAGGAAGATAGAGCTCTGAAATAGCTGGAAAAAAAAACTGATTACGTTTTTTTCTACCGAGCAACCTCGTCTATTTTTATTCATGTTTCAATTGAAAAAATTTTTCAACTATTATTTAAAAACAAAATGAAGACATAAAAACTATTGAAAATCTTTTATAATATTTATAATGAAAAAAAAAAACAAAACACAAACAATATCTATAATTAAACAATTATAAAACTAATTGTACAGATATATATATATATATGCTTATGTAATTTCTAGATAATTATATTCTTGATGAATTAAATTTCATTTTAACAAATATTGTACTTCGATATATCTAAAGTTCAAATACAGACTGCATTAATACATGAAACTTATTACAATCAGGATTTTGTTGTATAGAATTTTTCATTGTAATCATTAATAATTGATAACGTAAAATTTGCATCACTATTATTTGCATTGATTCAATAGCTTGTTTTTCATCAAATAAATAATTTAAATAACGCCATAAAATATTTGTATAATAATTTTGAAAATGAAATAATATTTTTTTATTTTTATATTCATATGATTGATTTATATCAGATAATGCAGATAAATTAATACTAAACATAAAAACAAGTAATGCAAGTTCTAATAATAATGGATAATTCATAAAACGATAGAAATATCGACGTATTTGTACCATTTGATAATGAAAATCTTCATTTATCCATTTTGACATACACTTACCAAGATTTGTACAATCTTGAAAATTATATACTATCACATGATGTAAATGTATAATAATAAGTAAATTAGTTTTGATCAATATAATTTGATCATCTATATCTAATTGTTTAAATTCAGGTATATGTTTAAAAAAATTAATTAATGATTCGTACATAACATTTTCATCATTCATAAATTGTATAAGAGATGTTAATGATGTATATTTATTAACATAGGAATAATCATATTTATCTATTGTTAATTGATAAGCATTATTGATATTATTCAATAATATTCGATCTTCATCATATAGAATAGAATTAAAATTAAAATGATACATTTTATAAATCTAAAAAAAAACGAAAAATAAAAACATATTATTATTTTAATTATTTTATATTTACCGAATTAGTAATATGTTCTTGATTAGTTGATTTTATTATTAAATGTTTTTTTTTTTTTCGTAAACCTTTTGATAGAGTAATAAGAGATTGTTGATCATTTGATAGAACAAATTTTTTTAATTGTTCTTTTGCTAATCTTATTAAATGTCTTGATTGTTTTTCTTCTTCAGTAAGAATTAATTCTTTACACATTTTAATATCAAAACATTTTTTTAATCGACAATATGTACATTGTCGACGTGTATAACTATTAATAATACAAGAACCAGAAAATTGACATTTTAATTGAGACTAAAAAAAAGAAAATTATTATTTACTTGTAATTCAATGAATAGTTGATAAATTACGATCTTAGATCGCTCAAGAAATAATATTGGCAATAAATTCAGGGATATTTAAGACTCGGGAACATCAACTAGTAGAAGTTCAGAGAGATTTATCTATATACTTTATCCTTTCAGTGAGATATTGTCCGACGAGTATATCTTATGTTTATTAGAAGAGAAGAAATTGTACTTTTAAAAGTGAAACTTTCAGAGTAATCGAATGATACTAAAAACTATGCATGAGCTACATCTTGGATCAAATCTATGTCATTTTATCTTGTAGAAGATAACTTGTCTAAAATGAAAATTTTATTAAAACGATTAGAACTTGAAAACAACAAACTATAAGTACGAGTCTTTTCTCTAGTCTCATCTGTTCTTGTTTCTTAACTATATTTTCTCATATCTTTAAAACTTTGTTAGTTTTGTTTTAATTATTTAATATTTATTACCATATCTCGGAATGCATTTCGACGAAAAAATGCTTTGCATGGTTCACAAGTAATTTGATCAAAGTTATATCCATGAGCTGGAGCACCACATACACGACATTCTAAATATGAAAGTTGACATTCACGTGTTGAACTACTATTGTCTGATAATGTTGATAATTGATATTGATCAGTCTAATGAAAATCATAAATAATCATATATATATATAAATAATAAATATAGATTTAAATGATTTACTTCAAACGATGAAGATGTTACTTCATCGAATACATTATCATACAACATAGAACATTGTTTAGATTCATTTTGAAGATTAACATCATCGGATAACGATAATAAATCATCAAAATCAAATGACGACATATTATTCCAATATTGATTATTTGATATTATCGGTCGTTATGTTCAATATCTATAATATTTCATATTAATAGAATTTCTTGAGAAAAATTTTTATACTATTTCGTTCTATATTCGAACCCTTTAACAGATTTTTTTTATTGTTACATTTGCTATGTAAACAATTCTCTTTCTCTCGTTTTTTTTTTGTTTCTTTGATTTTACAATTTTTGATGATTTTATTCAAACAACAACGAACAAATAGATGTTTTCTGTTTAGTTACATTTGAAAGTTTTCTTCCAAAAATAAAAAATAATTCTATTTTAAATAAAGAAACTAAAATATTTGAACTTACGCAGAAATCAATTTTGTTTTGTTTGGTTATATTCCTATATGACTACTAGACAGAATAGAAAACTCGTCGTACTTTTTTTTTGTTCTTTCTTTAGGCTTTGTCAATTAATAAATTTAAATAGAATCCTATATGAGAGTAGAAAAAAAGAAAAAGAAAGACATGATTTTTTTTCTCTTCACATAATCTGCCCTTTGCATAAACAATTTTCTTTCTCGAGGGAAAAACATGTAGTCATGTTTGTTATTTTTTATAGAAACGTAAATCGATGACTCATCCAAAAAAAAAGAAACTGAGAAGCCTAATAGATGATTATCAATAACATTATTAAAACAAAAAATTTCATGTATACAGAAATTAGAACGATTATATTTTCTAATCGATATTAAACATTTGCATAATAATATGATAAAAATAAAAACAAATGATTATATAACATGTAGGTGAAAAGATGATGGTAGGAAATCGATCAAATTTAGTATCATATGGCCTATTATGTAAAGCATTAGACTAGTAGCGTATCCAAAGGGGGGGGGGGCAGAGGGAGCGGCGCTCTCCCACCTGAAGTTTTTGCCCCCCACCGATAAGAAAAAGTACTAAATAAATGTACAGAGAGTCTTTGAAAACAATGGGACACCGTCTCGAAAAATGTGGTTTTGCCCCCCCCCCCTCCCACTGGCGATTTCCTGGTTAGTTGAAATTCTTTGTATGAAAAATTTCTGCAATTTCGAACATCATACATATATTGTACTTTAATATAAAATATAGATTTTTAGAAAATTGAATATCGTGTAGATGAAAGAAATTTTCATATAGTCATAATCTAATTGAGATCTATATTTATGAAATGATTGTTGAGTTTTAACATATTTTTTTTTTTGAATTCGTTTTATGGAACTTTGCCAACATATGAATCGTGTTTTGTTTATTTGTAGAAAGACAAAATAACAAAAATGCACATTTTAAGTACACTAACCTTTTTCTTTTTTTATTACGGTTGATGACTCAAATGTTTTTTTTTTCTCCTTCCTTTAACAAAACATTTCATAATTATTCGAAGAAGCTTTATTGTAGCCAATGATGTTTTTTTTTTGAAAGAGCATATGAAGATGCATTGCATGACAAAGTCTAATTTTTTTTTTTTATGTATTTAAGCTTACTTTTATTATATAAAAATAAAAAGCATCTCAATTTGAGTGTCTCAAGATGCTTAACATGTGTTTTTATGTTTTTTTCTGGATGAAAAGTATGAATTAGAAAAAAAAAACAGGAGATTTTCTTGAATGATACATTTTGACATGTTTTTACAAATAAAAGAAAATAGGAACATTGTAATTATCAAAATTAACTAACTAGAAAATAATTTAATTATATTCTTTTGAAATTTCAAATTCTCAATGAGCTATTGTTCGTTTTAAAATGTAATGCACTTTACTAGTTTTGTAATAACTCAAGAACCGAAAGGTCTGAAGAGTTGCGGTTTTCACTAGTCGATAGAAGAGATATGGCGACGCCTCTTTTTCTGCAATATTGTACAAGATGAAATCATTTTAAAATGAAACCGTTTTTTTTTTGTATAAGACATCGAAAGAATGTACAAAAATGATCCCTTACTTTGATGAAATTTCGATAAATAATAAGAAATATTTACTGCAAAAAATTAAGCGAAATCCATATTTTTCGAAGGAATAAATATACAATTTGATTTGCTTAATATTAGGATGTGTGAAGATAAACATTTGAATTATATCTTGTCTTATAGAACCGAAGTTCCTCTATCCAATGTGCCACAGCGTTACATTTTTCTTTCTGACTTTTTACGCGAAAACAAATTGCTGGAGGAAAATCTTTTTTTTACCGTTGAAAAGCTCGTTTCACATTCTACAACATTGACTCGAGAATTATTTAAGCTGAAAGTTGTCTTTCACAAGAAATTGAAACTTTAACGAGAACTCTAAAAATTCAGAGTCCTTTTTTTTGTCACAGAGTTACGCAACCATAAACTCTTTCTGTGAGCTGAAGACTTCAACCAAAAAAGTCATTTTTATAGCATCAATACGAGCACGACGAGATGCGTCGAACAGCATTTGAATGAACTTTCTAACCATCATAGTTTTTGAGATAACCCGACAAACCCGTGTTAAAAGTGTCACAGCGTTATGCTTGGACAAGCTGATAGATAGAATATTTCAAGCAATTTTTAATGCTATTGCTAATGATATATTTAATAATAGTGTTTTTTTTTGTTGTCGTTTTGTTATTGATAATTTCCGATATGCATCAACAACAAAAAAAACAAGTGATTAAATCTTTACTTAAAAGATGAAAACGGACATGCTATAATTGTATCATAAATTAAAATTTGAACAGAATAATAGATTAATTTAAAATTTTTTATTAATACACTAAAATCTATAGATTATAATCTGTTAAATATTCTAGAATTCTCTTGTTTACTATTGTTAAGACTGACATCTGTAGTTAATAATTATTATAGGTATTCTTGAATATAAACTGAATCATAAATAATTATTCGAATGCAATCATCATCTATTCCATTGAGTTAAATTCTCAATAAAAAATTAAAATAATGTTAACATTACCTATTTCATTATCATCACCTATTGTAATTAGTGTTAGTATTTTAACAGCTATTGGTGTTTATGTTTTATTTGGACCTGAACCACAAGATAGAAGAAAACGTGGTTTGTTCGATATATATAATTCAATAAAATTTTTCTAAATTTTATTTCATTAGGTTATCCCGGTGGATTAATTAATTATGGAAATAATTGTTTTGCTAATGCTATTGTACAATGTTTAGCATCATCATTAATATTTATACAATGGCTTGAAAAACATATTGAAAATAATAAATTAACAAATATTCTTCTTAATCTTATTAAATCTATAAATAATCAAACATTAATTACAAATTCCCAAGAATCAAATGTTGCAACATTAATTGATTATATGCAACAACCAAAATGGTTAACTCCATTTGAACAACAAGATAGTCATGAATTTTTAATATCACTTATTAATTCATTAACAACTATAAATAGATTAGAAACAAAACAATTAGGTTTTGCTTCATGTCTTGATACAAATGAACAAGATATATCAAAAATAATAATGATAAATGAAAGTCCATTAATAAATCCACATCCATTTCAAGGTTTACAAGCAACACAATTACAATGTACAGAATGTAAACATAAAGTAAAGATAATTTTTTTTCGAAATTAGATTTTATTTCTTAATTTATTTTTTTATAGAATCCTATAAGTGTTTCTCTTTTTGAAACATTATCATTAATGATTCCTGAACGTCATGTATCAAATGTAGGAATAGAATTTTCTATGTAAATTTTTATATTTTTTTTTTTTTGTTAAAGTTATTATTAATACGACAACAACGAAATTTTACATTACAAGAATTAATTGGTAATTATCTTAAAACTGAAATGATTAGTAATTTAATATGTAATAAATGTAAATCAAATAAAAATTTATTACATAGAAAAATAACAACTTTTTCTCGAGTAATTATTAATTTGAATCAATAAAAAAAAATCTTTTTCTTTAATAATTTTATTTTTTTTTTCTAGTTACCAGAAATTCTTTGTTTACATATTATTCGTACAACATGGACAAATGAAGGTTTACCTATGAAAAATACTTGTCATATATCATTTCCTGATATACTTGATATGAATGCATTTATATCATTATCACGTCTATTACCTACTAATATACATCCAACTCAAATAATTAAAAAACCATTAACAGCTATTTATAAACTTAATTCTGTACTTGTACATTTAGGTGGTATTAGTGAAGCTGGACATTTTATTGTTTATAGACGACGAATAAATAGTAATCAATGGTTTTCAATATCGGATGATCATATACGAGAATGTACTGAACTTGAAGTATTTACTTCAATGGCATATATTTTGTTTTATGAAAGAATAAAAAAATAATAAGAATAAAAATTTCTTATTATTAAATATATAAATGGTGAATAAATAGATCATTGATCTGAGATATTAAAAAAAAAAGTGTTGTCCTTGATCGAAGAGATTCCTTTTGTTAATTCTCAAGATTTATTTATGTTTAAAAAAAAAGAAAATTGTAGCTATTTTCTTAAAATGACATTTCCCAATTGATCTACTTGATTTTTTTTTGGTGGAAGATGATATTGATTTTGTTTTTATTAAATCAATAAGGACAAATTATTACAAGAAAAAAACGATCCATATGTTCGTACTCTCATTCATCTATAAAATATACATATGTGAAATTTTCAGTTAAAGAAAATATGTTAGAATAGAACTGTAAGAATGACTAAAATAAGTTTTGAATGAATTTTATTGATATTTGCTATTTTATTATCAATTACTAATGTACTAAATATTAAAGGTATTGATAGTGGTTCAGATTGTGCTAGTTATACTATTATTGTAGATCTTGTTGAAAAATTATCTATTGTTTATAATGAAAGTATTGTAAATTCTCTTGAACGACTTTGTAATACATTACCAACTAATTTAAGAATGAATAGAAGTAACACTTCGTGATAGTTCATGAGGAGGAAAAGATTGTAATAATTTTTCATCAACAATACATCCTGATGCTCGAGTTGTTGATGATGATAGTATTATAGGTCATAATTGTAATGGTATCTATGGTATGAATTCAGCAAGTGGAAGATCATATGAAGAAGAATTTTGTAATGAAACACAATGTATAGGTATAGCAGTATTAGGGGATTCAATATCAGCTCATTTTCATCGTCCCGAACAATGGTTAGATGCTAAACAATTATTCGTAACTGAATTTTAGTTTTCTTTTTTTGTTTTGCTTATTATTTAAAAGTGCGAAAAAAAAAACAAAAATTCTAAAAATCTAATTTATATTTCAAATTTTCTGTTGATAATAATAATAATCTATTCCATGTAAGCCTAAATAAGTTGGTCACTATTCCATATATATTTTATTGTAAAAAAAAAAAAAACAAAAGTACGAAATAAAAAATCCATATGTTTTATTTCTCAGCAATCAATATTTCTTTCAAGGTGTGTATAATTGTGTGCAATTCACAGGATTATTTTCAGTCGAGAAGAATACGAACAATGATGAAAACAGTTATCAGCTGGATTAGTTTATTACTTGTTGTCTGTATACCATTAGTAGATGGTCGTTTCACTATTACTAATTTAAAAAATGGTGTTAATGGTGGTGTAGATTGTGCAACTTGTTCAGTTCTTTTAGGTATTGTTGATCATCTTACAATTGTTTATAATGAAAGTGCTGCTCAATCACTTGAACGACTTTGCTCATTTTTACCATCGGAATATAAATTGTATTGTAAAGCTGCAATTGATTTTTTAGGTTAGTCGATATTATTTACATTGGATTTATACATATATATGATATATTATTCTAGGTCCATATATAATTGATGGTTTTATTAAAGGCGATAATCCTGATGTTATTTGTCATTCATTAAAATTTTGTACAGATGATCCTGATCAACCAAAATGTCGTCTTTATCCATCCAAAACTTCAATATCAGATGCATTAAATGCTTTAAATCTTCGTCAACGACATCCATTAATTATTTCACAATTAAAAGATCCAAAAATATGTCAAGTTCCTGGTATTAGAGAAATTTGTAAAATTCTAGAAAATATATTCAATAATCATATGCCAGCAGTTGATTTTGATCAAGATAAATTTGGTATAGAAGCAACACTTCGTGGTAGTTCATGGCGAGGAAGAGATTGTAATGATTTTTCATCAACAATACATCCAGGTGCTCATGTTGTTGATGGTGATAGTGTTATAGATCATAATTGTAATGGTATCTATGGTATGAATTCAGCAAGTGGAAGACCATATGAAGAAGAATTTTGTAATAATACACAACGTTTGGGTATAGCAGTATTAGGTGATTCAATATCGGCTCATTTTCATCTTCCCGAACAATGGTTAGATGCTAAACAATTATCCGTAGCTGCATTTGAACATTTAACATTCATTCTTGAAAATGAACTTGATTGGCCACAATTATCAGGTACTACAGGTCATTTTAATTTTAGTTGGCCAAATATTGAAGGTATTAAAAAAAACAAAATGTTTTGTATTATTAACATATTTATACGTTTATGTTTATAGGTCCAACACGTTCAATTTATGCTCGTTTATTTGAACTTGATCATTGTAATCATCGTGATTATCAAAATATTGCTGTTAATGGAGCTCGTAGTGGTTCTATGCTTGATATAATGAAATCTTTAGCACGTAATCCAAAAAATGATGTACCACTTCTTGTTATTTATTCATTAGTTGGTAATGATGTTTGTAATGGTCATCCAGATACTATTGATCATATGACAACAGTTGAAGAAATGAAAGAAAATGTTTTAAAAACACTTACATATCTTGATACAATTTTACCAAAAGGTAGTCATGTTTTAACAACTGGTTTAGCTAATGGTAGTATGTTATATGATTTATTACATGATCGTATTCATCCATTTGGTCGTGTTGGTCCACCAATATCATATCCACAAATATATGATTATTTATCTTGTTTACAAATATCACCATGTAATGGATGGATGACATCAAATGCTACACTTCGTTTTTTAACAACACAACGAGCTATGGAATTATCTGCAGCAATAAGAAATGTTTCATATACTTATAAATCTATTCAATATGATATTGAATATCTTGATTTTCCATTTGATGATGTTATACAAGAATGGATTGCTCAAGGTGGTGAACCATGGCAATTAATTGAAAGTGTTGATGGTTTTCATATAAATCAATATGGACATGCAACTGTATCTGATGTTCTTTGGAAATGGTTACAAAAAAATAAACCACAATGGTTACCACCAATTAATCCACATAATGGAGATATTGAACGTGTTTTTAAAGATCAAGGTGGATACTAAATATTGACTAAAATATAAATTTAATTTTTTTTTTCTTTTTCATTATTATGAAAAATAAGAAAAAAAAAGAAATCTAGCATCATTGCCAAAATATTTTGATTTTGTTTTTTTCATCACTAATAAAGATATATTCACAGTGTCTATTCATAAGAAATAATATTTGACAAAAAAGTGTTTTGTAGTGTTACATTTGACTCTCTGAACTCAGTACAGCTATATAAGAGAGTCACAACAGGAATTACAATGCTAGTATTTCGCTTCATTTTAAAGCATTATATCAGTTGGCTCTTGATAAAAGAAAAATCGTTTTTTTGTCTTCGATTGATTTTTAACTATTTAAAAGATGGATGGACTTTATTTCGTTAAGTAGAATGTCTTAATTAACATCAATCATCGAATATTATGGAATCCATCGTTCATCTTCCTTTTTTTTTGTTGAACGTATATTCACTAGAATCTATCGACTTGATTCCAGATCTGACAAATTGTAATAATGAAATATTATCTCTTTATCTTTTCAACTAACATCTGTTATTCTAGAAAAAAAAACAATTTTTTTAAATGTGAATCCATTGTTTATATTTATTTTTGAACAAACACTTGTAATATTACATTGCCAATGGGTGGTTAGTGCTTAACTGCATTCTTTTTTTTATAAAAGAAAACATATGCTTATTGTCGATTTTGTTCATATTATAAGTGAACATGTGCATTCCATTAACCTCATTTATCATGTCAATCAATTTGCCTTGAGATATAAATATAACGTACAATTATAAAAATAGTAATACTCCAGAAAAAATAATCATAATTTTTAAACATTTCATCATATCAATTATTTAATTTTGAATTATTTTTCAAATAATTAGATTTTTATTCTATAAGATATATAATATCTATCAAATGATCTTATCAAATCATTTGTATTACTTCGTTAAAGATTCTTCCATCAATTGATCAATATAATCAAGCATCTGGATATGGAAAAAAAAAATAAATAATTCCTTCGATCTAACGGTTATCTTCCTCATTTAAAAAAATGAGAGTAATACTCAATTTTTCTTTATTCATCAACATATTCACATCGATAGATAGTTTGTTATTTTAACATGACATTCGTTTTCTCATAATTCGAGAAAACAAATATATATATATATATTAACTCATTTAGATGAATATTAGTCAAACAGATGTTCATCATTATTTAGAAGATATAGGATACAATTGAATATGTCCTTTTACTAATTGGTAATTTGTACTCATCAGATAAGATAATAATTCTGAAAAAGAAGTTTATATAAAACTATATTCAACAAGAGAAATTTCTCAATAATTCTAACTTTGCTAAAAGAAAAGAAAAAAACGGTTAACCTTCTGCATTTGTTTATACAATGAAACAGAACAGCTTCTTCATTTATAGAAAAAACAACACATATATATGTCTATCTCTATTGAGAATAAAGGCGTGTCTGATGAATAAAAAGCTAGAAAGTTCGTTAGTGAACAAATGCGGTATAATCTTTGATAGTCATATCACTTTTCCAGTTGTTCTACACATGTTTCTATTCAACAGTATCAATTGGAATGAACATGCTACTTTCTTTCTTTTCATACCGACGAACAAACTCATTCATTCTATTCAATGATATAATATACAATAGAATATGTGTATATTTGAAGATATATTTAAGGTTTGAATATTATTACAAATAGAAACAATTCTATTTTTCTTGAGATTATATATTTCATGACAATAGAATGATGAAATTGTTTGTCTATCGTTCATTTTTATCTATATACATATATAGAATCATAATAGAAGAGATAGATACAAAAATTGTATTGCATAAGATATTATGGTAAGAATATTCTCTCTAGACACTTTTTTCAAATGTCCTGTCTATAGGATATTGGATAGTGTCGCACGAAACTATCGAGAGTTTTTTTTCGTCTTCTTTGATACAGATTATCGGAAAATTCGTATTATCTATTTTTCATCTGAAACTTTGTGCATATGTGAGAACTCATCATTGATAGAAGATTTTCGAACGATGACTAAATTCTTTTTTTTTGTTATAGATTAAAATATGCATAGAATATCTTTTGCCATATTAATTTATTTTATTATTTTAACGGTGGATTCAATTCCATCTATACATTTACATTCAAATTTAAATAAACATAATAAAATTCATACACGTTTACATCGTCGTGAATTAGTACAAGAAGAAGTACGAAAAACTATGTTAAATTATATGATAAGTTTAAAAGGTGAAATAACTGATATTGTTATTGAAGAAATGATTGATTATTATAATAATCAACGTATGAAATTATATTATTTAGAAAATGAATTATTTAATATTAAAAATTTATCATTACCTATTCAAAATATAAGTCAATTAATAAATAATTTTATTTTACATCTATCATATGAACAAAATTTATTTGCATTAAATATAACATTAATGGAATATAAAATAAAAAATTTAACAATTATTTTAAATAATTTATTAAATGATATACATCAACAACAAAAACCTATTCAACATGTTAGAAGACTTGTTTCAACAAAAAAAGATTTTCAACATCAAACACCAATAGGTTAATATTTTTTTGTTTATGTCATACCAAAGGTCCAAACAGGGCACTAGGGCTATTGCTCAACCTGATCCTGACCTGCCTGTCATGGGCATCACAGATGGTTTTCAGACTAGTGCCAGTCAGAGGTCCAAGCATTTTTTGGCCTGTCACTTGCACTAGTCTGAAAACCATGGGTAATGCCTATGGCAGGCGGGTCAGGATCAGGTTGAGCAATAGTCCTAGTGCCTTGTTTGGACCTCTGGTTTCTAGTCTGTCATCATTATTGTACTCGCTCGAAAAGCTTGACAGGCCTAAAAAGCGTGGCCTGTTTGGACCTCTGTTAAAAGTAAAACTTTTTCTAACTGAAAAGTTTGAAATTTTTTTAATTTCATATACACTTTAAAAGATATCATCGAAATAGTCTATAGTATATGTAAAAAAAAAAAAAAACTTTGATTTTTTTTTTTTCGCAAATCTTTGAACGTTTAAATTTTACGTCACGAAATGAGAGTGAGAATAGTCTTAATGTTATCTTCTTTTGTATTTTTTAGATTGTGATGATGTATATAGTCAACAACCATCACTTGTTCATGAAGGAATTTTTCGTATAAAACCACGTTTTGCATCTGAATCTTTTGATGTTAAATGTATATTTGAAAATAATATAGGTAAGATTAAATTAAAAGGAGTATCAAAATTAATTGATTTTCAAATAGGATGGACAGTTATACAACGAAGAATAAATGGAACTATTGATTTCTATCGTGGATGGAATGATTATAAAAATGGTTTTGGTGATTTACGAACAGAATTTTGGTTAGGAAATGAAAAAATTCATCTATTAACAAATCAAGGACGATATATGTAAGTTTATCCATATTACAAATGTTTTACATTTATTTCACTTTGCATCAACGACATTGATTATGAACATTTTTTTAGCTTTTTGTTTAAATCATTTTCATCGTAGGGAAAAAAAAACGATGATTCTTCTTGTTTGCTTTTAAAGTTATTTCTACTTTAATAAAATGCTCAACATCTTTTGAAAAAGTATATACTATAGTTGAATAAATGTCCTATATCAAAACGAAAATATTTATTGTGCTAGTGTAATATTGAAAACAATGTATAGCATTCGCAAAATCATGAAAAGATGATTTTTCAGTAATAGATGGTAATTTGACTCTAAGATAATAGGGTTTTTTTCAAGGACATATTTTAGTAGAACACGAATAATTTGATCTGTCGATATCGTTTCTAGAAGAATTTAGTTCAATAACTTCTTGATGAAGAGTCATAACTGCTTTAATGAAATAGTTCCTTGAGGGAAGGCATTTTCAAGAAACTGAAGACAGTAAGATTCGATTTGTGAATGGTACTAATCGACATGTCTAATAGTCACTAGATAGTTCCGAAACTTTCAACGAAAATGAACAGTTTTTTTTCCATGAGATACTCGATTTTGAGGTGCTCTGAATTATTGTATCTTCCTATAGTGAACCATTATTTTTTTTGTAATTTTGAATATTTTAAGAGACATATGTTCGTTTTCGTTAAATTTTCAGAACTCTATAAACTAAAGTTGATGTCAAAACCTTTTCTTTTCGATTTTTTCGACAATATCTTGCTCTAAAGACTAGTTTCATTGAAACATCTATAACTTTTCAATAGGAGAACATAGACCCGAATTCTTTTAAGATTGTTTTAGTCTTACTCAAAGTCATAATATGAAGTGCAATGACGTCCGACAGTTGAATATGTTTCCTGAACAGATGGATTAATGTGTTTCTATTGTATCTCTTAGTTATCTGTACTTTTTTTTTCCAAAACACTTTTCATGAGAAAAGCTCACTTATTGATCCTTATCTTTTGTACAAATCTCTGAAAAAAATAAAATATCAATGTACAGTTATTTTTTGTTCTTCAATTTCTCATCACTCGATACTTAATGTATTAAAAACTTTTTCTTGCTCGAAAAGAGCACTATGTCAACAAAAATCATCTAACCTAGAGTAGCAATGAAATCGCTAACTTCATGGATTAGTTTACTCTCATTGAATTACAGAAAGACAGTTGCATGCAGTTATCATATTCTTTACGACTATTCCATCAACTTAATCTAATAAAACTTTTATTCTTATCCTTTTTTTTTTAGTCTTCGAGTTGATTTACAACCTTGGGATTCTCCAATACGTATAGCTGAATATGGTCAATTTGCTTTAGATAATGAAAGTCAATATTATAAATTACAAATATCACAATTTCGTTCAAATATATCAACAGCTGGTGATTCATTAACATCATCATGGGATAATGCTAATGGAATACCATTTTCTACATATGATCATGATTTTGATAATTTATTTTATGATAATTGTGCATTAACTTATCATGGTGCATGGTGGTTTACAAATTGTTTTCAATCTCATCTAAATGGTGCTTATATTCGATCACCACTTGCTTTACAAAATACGGCAAGAAATGGTTTACATTGGAATACATATGCATTGTATCATTCAATGAAACAAACAACAATGCGTATTCGACGACTAAATACATTTTAAATCAGTTAACTTATCTTTCTGTTTTTCATTTTATATCATATATAAATAAATAATCATGATTTTCAAAATATATATTCATTGTAGTTGTGTATCATACTAGTCCACTGAAGTGGAACGAGTATCATGTCTGAATTAATAATATACAAACAGAACATGCTCGTTCGAATCACAACAGTGGATCGACAGGTAACCATTTCAATAACAACATTCCCATCTCCACTACAAAAAACACATAAATGTGTCGAGCATCTCAAGAAGAGACGATTGCGTAGCCGCTGTTTGGAGATTAGGAAGGCATCGAAGTGGGCTTGTCAATCCGGAAAAGATAGAATCAAGAAAGAGTAGATAGAAAATAAAGAAGCGGTGTCCCACCAACGAGCCAAGATAAATCTTAAAAGACTATCAAGTCGTTAGCGACACCGCGTAGTGTTATCGAATTACTTCGCTTGACATTAGTAGTTTTCAATACGAAGTAAGCGATAGTCGATCTCGAAAGAAACGAACGTTATGAAGCACGTTTTTTCCCTTTTGAAGATGAGATGAAAAAATAAAAGCAAAATGTAGCATATTTATACTCGTGAAACGTATTGCCCAAACCAAATATAATCATTAAATGTTTTTTACCCTCATATTTGCCATTGACTGGTACAAGAAAAAGATAAGCCGAGAAGAAACACATGATGGTTGCGCACTCGACACTAAACAAATATTTGCATCAATGAAAAGCAAGCATAATAACTGCTACCCTGTTGTTAAAAAAAACGTGATATGCTGCAAGAAATCTTTTTTTTTTTGTTCTTTTTGTTAAAGCCTTTAGATTTACAACTATTCGAACAAGACTTCTTTTTGCGTGAGTTACCCTTCATACAAAACAAAAAATAGAAAGTGTCTCCATTATCGGTGTATAGGGCAGACCACTTCAATTACGCCCTGATTTTTCTTTTAACATACTTTACGAACAACATTTAAAATCTAGAGGCTGTATCAAAATAAAAAAAAATAGATTAGTGCACAGCTTATATATCTGTATGGTTCGATATAACGAGGGAACATTTCCAAGTGATTCGAATCGTTTGCCTTCATATTACGCCCATAGGTAGGGTTCATAGTGTAAGGAAATATCCTAAAAGAGTTCATGCCATTGTGCGTTTCTTCTCAAGTTATAACCATTTTGCTGAATATTCAGCCTATCACACAGTATTATGAAAAAAATTTCAACAAGGAATTTTCTCTTGAAAATTTTTTCAATAATAGATCTCATAGTCATTGTTATATCTTGAAAGTTTCAGCTTAAATGAATAGTTTCCTTCCGAAATAATGCACGTACAAAAAACTATTACTTTCTCACAAAAGCTCCGAAAATAGTTTAGTTTTAAGATACTTCATATCTTTAGAAAAACTCATTCGTTTGAGTTGAGACTGTCAGGAAATAATTACATAAAAAATTGCATCAATATGAGTATCTATTGAGTTTATTGATATATATTTCAATTTTTTTTTCCAAATTATTTTGAAAATCAAATCATAAGCAATTATAGATGACCATCAAACAGCTTCGATCTCAATGCTACGAATTATAATGTGTGAGACATTATCATCAATGAAAAGTGAAGAAATAAAGTTAAAAATTTTGATTCATTTATTGATTAAATAAGAAAAGAAATTCATCGTATAACAATCGATGATCTTATTCGTTGCATCGAAAATTGGTTACACAGAATTTCGTCCATTTTGAAAACAAAAGATGTATAGATAAAATAAGATTGTTAATGTACTGTGTAGAGCCTATTATGCTGTATCTTATAGTATGTTTTGTTTTTCAAATTGAATGCACTAGATGATAGAAAAACGAAGTACAAAAATCGGTCTTTCATGATGGAACACCTGTTAGATGTTCCACATATTCCTTTTGAAGAAACTGAACAGATATAAACAATTAGAACATGAGATTTGTTCCTAGACGTTTATAAAAACCTAAGCAATAAAAGAAAAATAAATCTTTGTTGAAACTATTTCCATTATTCAATTCATAATCACTCAATACAATAGTTACTTTTTTGCCGAATTCCTTAGATCTAAAAACTTTTTTGAATCGATCAAACTGAATCAGTTCAAAGAGAGTCTTTTAAACGAATTGGGTTTGAAATAAAACGAATCGAAAGAAACTCAGGTGTGCCATAGGGGGATACAAATGCGAAAAATCTTCATGTCAAACAAAGATGAACACATGTATCCATGTTCTTGACTAAGTTTGACCTAATATTGTGATATACGTCTTTTTGAAAGAAAAATTCGAGAAGAAAAGTATCGTTTTTCACTCTCCTTCTTTGTATCAAACCACTGCTACTAATAAAACATAAGTGAATTGACTTCATCTTTCTCCGTAAAGATTATAGAAGATATTTGACATATTCTTTGAAATTTCAACTGATGACCACTATGGATTACTATTTGAATGTTTGGTTTCAAAAATTGACAGAAGAAACCTGCGGATTCACGTTGTTCTAGACCTGAATCCAATAGATCAAGGCAAGGCCCTAGTAATTTATACACTCGATTTTTTTCCACCAATACTTATCATCCTTTGCACGTATGAAAAAAGAGAACAATCAAATTTTCAGCCATCTATACATTACTCTGAAAAAAATCTCAACGCACAGTTATTTTTTTCTTCGATTTTTCATCATTCGATGCATAATGAGTTAAAAAGAGCACTATGTCAACAAAAAAAAACAAAATAAAACAATTAATTGAAAAACCAAAAATTCGTCAAACAGACAGTAACATCAAAATCTTCAGATGGCTGGGATAGTTTTACCTAAGCTCCAGCTCCCGACACCAACGGTCTAGAGTCTTCAAATACCTGCAGCTTCCTATTTGATAGACAATAACTGATTTGTTAAAATAAATCTAACACTCGATATATTTCATATCAGTGTGATTCAATGATAGAAAGATGGTTGCATACATTGGTCGTATACTTTACTACTACCCCATCAACTTCTTTAACCCTTTCCGGCCGGATGTTGCCATTTGGCAACATGCCGTCAATATTTCTGCCCGGTTGACTTAAGTTAATGATTTATAATTTTTTTAACACATTGATAATTACACTAATACATTTCTGTGTAAGTTCATGTATTCATACGAAAAATAAAATCTCTCAGTGAGCAGATGAAGCACTCAACTCACGATGCCTCAAAAGAGCATACGGATCGAAATAATTATTTTTGCATGTGTCTCAACATTCAATTGACTAAGCAATTAGCGATGAATTTTCCTCCAGAGGTATGCAGTCTACTGTATCACTAAGTCGAGTTATGGAATAAATTCGAACAATAAAAAACCGGGATGTTGCCGTTTGGCAATATCTGGCCGTAAGGGTACAAAAATTTTGAAAAAAACAATTTGTTTTTTCGTCTATGAAAGTTCAATAGTTTCTGGTTTATTTTGAATTTATATCTTCATACTAAAGCACAGTCTGCCTTTCTGTCCGTCTTTTTCAGACCGAAGCTGAAATATACCTAGAATATTCTAAAACTTTACAAAATTAGCCAGTTTCTCCAAAGAAGTTCTGAATTTCAAAGAAATTGAAGAAAGTTTCGCAGCATTCTGTAATAGTCTAGGTCGGAATACTCTAGAATATTGTAAAAATTTCTACAATCTCTCTGAAATTCAGAACTTCTTTGAAAAAACTGGCTAATTTTGTAAAGTTTTAGAATATTCTAGGTATATTTCAGCTTTGATCTGAAAAAGACTGACAGAAAGGCGGACTGTACTTTAGCATGAAGACATACATTCAAAACAAACCACAAACTATTGGACTTTGATAGACGAAAAAAATTGTTTTTTTTTCAAAATTTTTGTACCCTTACGGCCGGATGTTGTCAAATGGCAACATTGAGCTGTTCCGTAATGAAGAACTTTTTCGTTTCAACGACTAGACCTTTGATATCTTCACTATGAGAGAACTACAAATTCACTGGAAAAGATTTTCTCGCTACCGGTCTTCTGGTAGCCGGCCGGAAAGAGTTAACATTATCATTCTTCTTTTCTTTCTTTTTTTTAGTCTTCCAATTGATGTACAACCTCGAGATTCTTTAATGCATTTAGCTGAATATAGTAAATTTGCTTTAGATAATAAAAGTCAAAATTATAAACTACGAATATCACAATTTCATACAAATATATCAACAGCTAGTGATTCACTATCATCATCATGGAATATATTGTTACATTGTATCATTCAATGAAATAAACAATAATGCTCATTCAACGACTAAATACATTTGCCAGGAATTAACTTACATTTCTTTTTTTCATTTTATATTATTTACTAATAAATAATCATGATTTTCAAAATATATATTCATAGTAGTTGCATCAAATTAATCCACTGAAGTGGAACGAGTATCATGTCTGAATTAATAATATACAAACAGAACATGCTCGTTCGAATCACAACAGTGGATCGACAGGTAACCATTTCAATAACAACATTCCCATCTCCACTACAAAAGACACATAAATGTGTCGAGCATCTCAAGAAGAGACGATTGCGTAGCCGCTGTTTGGAGACGAGAAAGGCATCGAAGTGGGCCTGTCAATCCGAAAAAGACAGAATCAAGAAAGAGTATAGAGAAAATAAAGAAGCGGTGTCACCTCCAACGAGCTAAGATAAATCTTAAAAGACCATCAAATCGTTGGCGACACCGCGTATTACCATGCCATTTACTTCTATATGCAAGTTTTGTAGACGAAGTAAGCGTTAGTCGACCCCGAGAGGAACGAACGTTATGAAGCACGTTTTTCCCCTTTTGAAGATGAGATGAAAAAATAAAAGCAAAATACAGCATATTTATACTAGTGAGATGAATTTCATCATTAAAAGGTAATCACTACCTTGTTTCACTCTTTTTTTTTTGTTGCAATCAAATTGTGCAAGAAAGACATATGTAGGAGGAAAACGTTCATGCCTACTGCGTAGTCGCCATTAAAGA